TGATAATACGAAGAGCGATTCAAAATGGTACGAGAAAGATGAAATCACCCAATATGATACATCAGTTATACTTTTATATATTATACTTTTTGGAATAATAATAATATTGTTAAATATTGTTGTAAAAATTGTAAATCGCAAATGCGAATCATCTTGCATTAAAATTAGTATTTAAAAAGGAAAGACGATTTAATAAAACCCAAATCATACGTTAAGGAATTAAATTTTATTTTAAAAAACTACCCATTACATGGGTAATATTACATTTATAAGCCATTGGCGTAGACGTTTCGTTGGGTGCAAGAAAATTGTCCAGTGACATGACATGGGTTGATATCAGGGGCAAAGTTCCCAGTTGCACAGGGCGTACCATCATACTTGCAAACGTTAGTAATGTTGGGAAAAACGCCTAAAATCTTGCATTTCTGCTTTTTGTTCTCCTCGAACATAAACATAGTCTGCAGCAAGCAACAACTTATTCTCAAGTATTGTATTCAACTTGGAATATTCTACGTTGCCCGAAGAGTATTTAATACCATGTAAATTCTTCTCTAAATACGATGCAGTTTTTTTGTCTTTATTACTTAATGTAGCAAAAGGTTGCGGAGGCGTAAAGATGTAATGGCTCGTCTTCAAACCAATTTTGATACTTAATTCTTTAGGTACAAATAAGTCATCAACGATGAAGCCTTGAATGTCGACGAGTGCGATTCTCATGATGTCTGTTTTGGATCTGATGATAACGTTTTTTACGAGATGTTTTTAATAACTTCGGTGAGGGGAAAGTACTCCATTAAGCAATAATGAATAATTATACAGTAGGCTTTAGTGTTGCCCAGGAATCCAGTATCGGCTTCGATATCCAATCACACATCATCAGTAGACGATTTCATGGTTTCCTTTTGCTTTGAACAATCAATAACAAACAAAGCACAATTTTTAAATGCAACATAATCCAAGAGATATTTCTTCAGAGTAGAGTTTGCATAACTGACTTGAAAGTCGTTGTAGTTAAAATGGGCCTCAGCAAAGTGACTATTTGCAAAGTCCAACTGTATACATTCATTGGGATAGTATTCACTATTCAAAGATACTCGAATGCTAGCCGTATTTTCATGATCAACAGAGTGGATCTGCTTCAACAGCATCACGTTTATCAGTTTGGAAACATACGATAATAAAACGCGGTCTTTCGTAAGGGGCTATAAATAGGAGCAGCATTGTCAGTTTTTCAGTTCAGTAATCATGTGCAGCCAAGACAATGGTATCGAAGTGAATAGTGATAGCGACAGTGACATGTCTGATGCCGAAATGAACGATTTTAATAAAGAATTAAATAATTTTTTGAAATTTCAATCAAAGTCTGATGATAATGATTCTGATCCTTCCGAAGAACTTGATAAAATTGTTCAAGCTTGTGAAGATGCAGCGAAACGTGAGGTACATTACTTACTACAAACCTCATATATGTTGTCAGGATACGAAATTCAATGTGGGATAAGTCCAGCGAGATCGTTTATACCAGCAGTCATTTTGAAGCAGCATTTCCGACCAAGTAAAATATCTTTTAGTACGTTTGAATGGGCTTCTTTAATTGACTTGCTTGAGCAAAAACTTAAAGATTTTTTCCATGAAGACTTACCAACCTACCCGGACGAATATAAACCTGTGACGCATCCGTGTGGTGATTATTGTACCGTCACGCAACTGGTTTATGATGACATTAAATTCCTAGTTGTGAAAAAACACGGTGTTGAATACTATTTGTGCGAGGATGAAGTTCAGGAAATTCTTAAAACCAACAAACATTTGATATCTCATCGAGTGTCCCTAATAGAATCTCTTAATTTTTGTCATTATTATTATAACATTTTATATTTTTGTAAAACTTGTTCTGAATCAATGCAAATGTTATGTTTATTATGTGAAATTCTACCAAATGATTTGTTAAATAATGCTCTTAGAGAGTACATGTACTTTTATAAAATTTCTATAATTAACGATTTAAATAAATAAGTTTTAGAAAAGTTGTTTTGTTTTATTTATTGCATGGTTTTACTGTATTGCACAATTTTTATTATACACAGTTCATTGTCATACAAAATGTTTAAGTGTATACTTAAACACGTCTGTATAGACGTGCTTACTTTATTCTTTCTTGTGTCATTATGTTTTGCTACACATCAGAACATAACAAACCAAGATGAAATTTTAACATATTTACAACGTTTCGGCTATATAAATAAAAGTGAAAACGCTTTCACTGATATTACTGGCGCATTGGTAGATTTTCAAAGAAACCTACAATCTTCCAGTTGATGGAACGTTAAATGAAGGAACCGTCCGTTTAATAAATAGATCTAGATGTACTCAGGGTGATAATTCTTTTACTGTACATTCCAAATGGAACAAAAAACATTACGATGGTATTTCCCTCAGGTATCGAGGAACTATATCGATCTAGCTACAAAGGCTTTTGAATTTCTTTGTTATCTTAGAGAAAATAAAATTTATCAATTATAAAAACATTTCTAGGAGTGTCAAATGATTGTGCCTAAAAGGTAACCGGTGGATTAAAAGATCAAAGATTTTTTTTTTATAAAAGCCGAAGAAACTAACATTTTTTGCTAAGACAATTGAATATTTAATATAATGACATAAGATATTAATTGTATAATTTTAAAACTGTAAATTTTTGAAAATAAAACTTTCTATAATAATTAATATTTTCAATAATTAACACATGTTTGTCTGATATTTAACTTATTGAAGAAAAAATTGAATTTGATTCATTATATTTACAATATAAAGACATCTGATTTCACGAGGTCACCTAAAACACCCGGCGGACAGAATAAAATTTACCAGCATCATTTAAAAATAAGACGAAAGCCAAAAGTTTTAATAATGCTGCTGCTAAACAAAAACGAAACAAATGAGAAGATAGACAAAACATTAGGCAAATACCGGGGAATACTAGACATGTAAAACCCATGGAAAAAGTTATCAACTATGAAGAAGACGATGAATATATTTACTGGGACGATCCCAATGTACTCTGTGACAGATTAAAGCTATAGATGGTTTCGAAGAATGTAGGAAAAACTTCGGTAGACAACGAAATCGTGAGCATAATCAACGAACTTTGAAAGCCAATATCATATATTAAAGTACATTAAGTTTTATAATCATTTTTATCATGAGTCTCGATAAGTTTGGACGTAGACAAAGTGATGGTGCTCCGAAGATTAATATAACGCAGTTGGAAAGCAGATTCAAAAATGTTTTTGATGCGAAAAATTATACTCTAAATACAAATATCAGCAAATTAAATGATATTGTAAACGTTATCGGCGGTAAAACAAATGACCTTGAAACATTTACATCGAGAAATCCACCCACAGCTGGTAAACATATGGCAACCAAAAAATATGTTGATGATACAATTAAAACAAACAAAGGATTCCTTTGACGTGACATAGCAAAAATTAAAACTGATACAGACAACGAATATAATGCCAAAATACAATCACTTAATACAGTTTTGGAGAAGGTTGAAAATACATTGACGTCTCTACGTTCTGATATAAATCAAATTCAAACTCAATTACTACACCTGTATAATGAAGATCTAAAAAAATTACGTGATGAGTTTTTGATTAAAATTACCGATATTACAAATCTAATGTCAAAAAATATTGAGCAGCTTAACGATCAAATTAAAACAGTTCCAAATGCCATGTCAGCAATTGATGATGTAAAAAAAGAGGTAGAATTATTACAAAAAAATCTACATGGCATTAATAAAATTACAGAAACCAATGAAAATGAACTAAAAGTATTGCAAAACACCTTACAAAGCACCAATCAGATAACGAAAACCAATGAAAAGGACTTATTATTACTACGTGAAACTGCAAATGTACAATTTTCAGAAATTGACTTGAATATCAACGATTTACAATCACGTATTACAAAACTAACTCCAACACCTTAGTCAGTCATCGCGTCAAAGGAAGAGATTCAACTTGTTAACGAATTAACCTGCTCGTAAAAACTATCCTAGGCATCGTACAATTATTAAGGGTTTGGATGATTTATGGCAAATGAATTTAGCTGAAATGCGTTTTATGCGCACCAAAATAAAAATTTTAAAATGGAAACAACTGTAATTAATGATAATATTAAAATTAATTGAAGTAATTAATGACTTTAATAAAAAAGAAAAAACAAAAATCTCTTATCCTCTCTCTGTTATTATATTGTATTTTGCTAATTTTTGTATCCTACGTTTTTTTTTATATTGTAAAAGATTTTGCTAATTTTTACCTTTTGTAGCACACTTAACCCAATTTTGTATATATTTTTAAGATTTTTGCTAATTTTTACCTTTTGTAGCATACTTAACCCAATTTTGTATATATTATATCTTTAATAAAAAAGTATGAAAACAAATCTCGTTCTTTTTTCTTCTTTTCCGTAAAAGTGTCGTTTTTAACGTAAAAGCGTCGTTTTTCGTCGTTTTTGTCGTTTTCAACGTTTTCGTCGTTTTTTCAACGTTTTCGTCGTTTTTAACGTAAAAGCGTCGTTTTTCAACGTTTTCGTCGTTTTTCAACGTTTTCGTCGTTTTTAACGTAAAAGCGTCGTTTTTCAACGTTTTCGTCGTTTTTCAACGTTTTCGTCGTTTTTCAACGTTTTCGTCGTTTTTAACGTAAAAGCGTCGTTTTTCGTCGTTTTTAACGTAAAAGCTTCGTTTTTACATGAAAAACGCTGTTTAAAAACACACCTCACTCTGTGGTGGTAGATAACATTGACAAATGACGTAAAACAACATCAAATAATACGTCTTTTGTACTCATTTAGCAAAAGTGGAGACAGTCGAATGGGTAAAGGCATTGAAAATCATAAGCTTATGATTTTCAACGCCTTTAACCATTCGGCCGTCTCCACTTTTTCTTTTTACGAAAATAAAACTCAAGAAATTTTACAAAGCATATTTTATTAAATTCTATCAAAGTCATTGACAATTTTATATTTATAATAGTACATGAATTGTCCCAGTGCAATATTTTTCAAGTTACAATCCAAGTTCTTAAATACATGCATTTTATGAAAAGCATCTGAGAACTCATAAGTATCATTAGTAAAACTAGCTCGAACACTCTTAAGCAAATTATAATAATAATTGGGAAATTCAACTTTTTCTAACATTGAGATATATGACACTAAAAGTTCATTATTTATATGTAAGAGGTTCATCACGTCCGCTTGTGATAGGAAAAAACTCAAGTTGTGCTTGGTAACTTTGATAAATTTCGTGCTATCGTAGATTACATGTTGAAGCTTGCAGTAGTCACCACATTTGATTTCCACATCGTCAGGACGGTCCACAATCTCATTGAAAAAATTGCTATCTCGAAGATGGGTAATTAATTGTTCCCACTCATATGAGCTAAAAGATACTTTTTCCCACTGGTCTTTGTGCATGACAACAGCTGGAGTAAATGATCGTGCTGGACTTAGACCACACCCAATTTGACCGATATCATGTGGAAATTGTGTGTAGAGCAAATAATACTCTTCGTTTTTAGATGCTTCTTCGTACCTCTCCAAGAGTGAGTCTATTTCATGATCATAGTCTTCAGACACTATCGATGGTGATAACGGTTCCGGTGGTGATGGAGTTATAGGAACATCAAACTCACTATCTTCAGAACCATAACCATTATCTTGAGAATACATTGTGTGAAAAACTAGGAGAACTGATTGTTGTACAACAACTGAGACTCAGGTGCTTGAGTTTCCCTAATTTATATCTTCGTACCCCCACCATTCATGAAGCACTATGATGATATTAAACTACATCATCATTTTCAATCCAACTATTATGTTTGTTATCAAAACCAAGCCATTTAACGTACATTTTAGTACCTTTTCGACGCAACACTTTTTCCACCAAATAAACGTCGGGATTCGCAGTTTTCTGTAATTCCTCATCGTAAAAAGCTCCTTTGATTGGTGAGCCATACATATCTTCAAGCATATACGTTGCAGGGTTGGTAATATTGCATTTAGTAACTTTAAATAATTCAGTCGTCCAGCTGGGGACGTATCCTTTCTGGAAAAGCATTTTTGCGCGGCTGATACGTACAGTGTCACCAACTTTAAATTTTCGTGGACCAGCAATTTTCAGATGTGAATATTTTCGATTTAAAATATCTTTTTCGTTGGATCTATTTACTTGTGAAGGCCGACATCCGATGGTTTGATGACGTGTTTCATTATATTCGGAAGTAATGGTGGGTAATATATCAATCTATTTATATGAGCCTTTTAAACTAAAGTATTTGTAAAGTTTATTTTTCAGCGTTCTTATGACTCTCTCAGCAATAGCAGCTTTTTTGGTGCTGTACGTACTATAATGATTAATATTATGTTGTTTCATTAAACTTTGAAATTTGTTATTGTAAAATTCCGTTCCACGATCGGATTGTAGATTTTTCGGTGTACGTTTTGTGTGTGCGAGAATATCTGAAAATGTACGAGTAAGCTCCTCTCCCGTCTTTGTCTTTAATGGTCGAGTCCACATAAACTTTGAAAAGCAATCGATAATAACTAAAATTAATTTAAAATTTTTATTTTGATGGGCGTAAGGACGCATTTCAGCCAAATCCATTTGCCATAAATCATCCAAGCCTTTAATAATGGTGCGACGACGAGGATAATTTTTTCTAGCCGGTTTGTGCAGCTCGTTAACGAGTTGAATCTTTTCTGTAGATGCCATGAAATCGTTCTAGCACTTTAATTCTTTGAAGTAAAGGTTGTAAATAAGTGTTAAATATAGCGAATAATTCTTGGTTTTCTTGTATTGCTGTAGATAGACGATCATCTACCTCGTACAAAGTCTTTGACAACTCTGATACTCGGCTATCTAATAAAGATCTCATATGCGATTCAAATCGAATACTTTTCTGCAATTGCTGCACGTCATGCATCCTATTACCATTTATTTTTTTCTTAAAATTATCGAGATTTACCTGCAACTCGTTTCGCAGTTTCTCACATACATGATATTTTTTATTTACAATGTGCTTAGCTGACAATCTTCACTCGAAATGCCACGTTTGCCTTCTAATGCTTCAACGCGTTTGACCATAGGATTTATAGTGTTCTTAGTAACCCTGCCTAGTTCATCACTTAAACGCTTATCAAGGCCATAGACTTTCTTTGATACGGTTGATATTCTTCCTTCCAAAAGCGCCAATTGTGAAGATACATCACGAATATTTTTATGTATTAGAGTCAAGTCTATATGTTGTATTGCAGATTTGATGTTATCCAATTCTACCGTCACAGTATTTATATTTTTAGCTGCATCAGTACTACTTTTCTTCATGTTTTTTCGAAGAAACGTTTTTGCATTTACAATAGCTTCATCTACATATTTTTTTGTTGCCATGTGTTTACCTGCAATAGGAGGGTCTCTCGATATAAACTCAGCTATTTCACGAGTTTCTGCTGGTAAGGTTTTAAATTCGATAACCGAAGTATCTATGTATTTCTTAGTAGCAGCGTCCGAATCAGCTGTTGGTTCTTTTATGTTGCATAACTTTACGTTTTCAAAGTCAATATTTCCATCGGAAGTATGAGGAAGAGTTAATTTTAGAGGAATACGAGCGTAGGGGGCTAATTTTTGTTTATCAAAGCGACGTCCGAATTTATCGAGACTCATTTTGCAAATGAAACTTTGGTAACCAAATTACCATATTATATTAGCTTCTTTCAGCTCATTGATAATAGCGGTTATCTCGTTTTGTTGGGACGTATTTCCCGCTTGTTTCGAAGCAACTAACAACTTTAATCTATCGACCAATTCATTCGGATCGTCCCAATAGACGTATTCTATAGGTTTTTCATTATAAATTAAATCAAGGTTTTGTGTTGGCAATGATTTGAGTTTTGATAATCCTGCACCTTCTCGGGAACTAAACAGAGGTCGGATAATTTGCATATACTTTGATCTTTGTGTACCTTTTAAATGTCCTAAAGCATTTCGATGAACATTTGTCGTTTCCAAAATGGTTTTATATGCCTTTAAGTCATCAGGAGTATACACAGGTTTATCGTAAAAAATTAATTGATACAAGCCAGGAGTCCCCGGTGTCAAATACAACTGATTGCCGCCACTAAGTAATTTTATGTTTCCAGTTTTGGACTCAAATTCCATACGCTTGTTTCCCAGAAACCACCAGTCATTGTCTTCATCATATACTGGACCGTATACTTGATCGATTTTGTCATCTTTTTGCCAGTAGTCTTGAACAACGGGTAGGCTCATTGGAGGATATTGTTCCAGATATTGTGCAACTACTTGTGGAGCTAATGATTGATCAGAAGTCGGTGAAATTTCATCATCATTTTCACTAAATTCTTCGGGGTTGTCTTCAGTAGCAGCAACCTCTTCCAACGAAATGAAATTAGGTTTGACGGGAGATGAGGTTTTTGGCGGATTAAACTGTGTACTGCCATACGTTTCATTGTGGTCAACTTTCGGTTCCTCTTTTTTGACAGAGTAATTTGTTGAGGTTTTTACAATTTCTTGAAGGGGTTCAGATATCGGTTTGAAAAGTTTCTTAATAGACTCATCTTGTTCGCTCCTACCTAATTTTAAGGTTAGGTACTTTTTACGTATAGATCGAGCAAGTTCTGCAATCTTTCGCTTATGCGTAGCAACAGCAATGTGGTTCTTTGACAACATGATACCAAATGACAATATATGAGCTACTCCTACAATTTTATGTACTTATCAAAGCCTACTCTGTATCGACCGCGATTAAGAGAACAGTCTTTGACAATAACTAAAGTACCATAGTTTTCAGCCCAACACTCTGAACACATTTTCTTGAATTCTTCAAAGGTAACATCTGGAGATACATGCTCATCAAATATGTGTTTTAGGTTAACTTCATCCTGTTTGAATAGTACAATGATGTTGCAGTTATCTCGAATTAGCTGTTTTGGAATTTTGGAGTACGTTTGACAGAGATAAGCAGCATCGATATCTTTATGACGACACATTGAGTAATATTCACGAATTTTCTGCTGTCCATCGCAAGCCACATCATCAAATATGAATACCGAGTTATTTTTAGCCTTACTAGGACTTATGATTTCTTCGTTGTCTTTAAATGGGAAATAACCAATGCCCTTAGCGTGTTTAATCACCTCTTGAAGTAGTTGATACTTTGGTTGGTATAACGACTTTGAGTAAACGTAGACATTTTTGAATTTAGCGCCATTTGGATCGAAAAGCAATGACAACATAACGTTCGTTTTTCCACATCCACTGGGTCCACAAATGATGGCGCGAAACGAATTCGGTAATAGTTTGCCATGTTTACTATGTTGAGGCTCTGTCGTAAAGTCCAAGTTAATAATGGGTAACGTCTGCTCTTGTTGAACAACCTTCATCTTGTGAAATTCGAGTACGAAATGTAAGGTTATAAATGTAGATTGTGCTACTCCTCATCATCAGTCTTCATGTTGGTGTATCAAGGTGAAGGTGTCTTGAATTCTCTCATTAATAAATTGCCAGTCGAGTTGCATGTACCTGGCTATCAATATTGTGGACGTAAGTGTGTGTGTGTGATGCTGCGTATTTCTTTTCTCTAACTTAACGTTGTTTTCAGCTGGAACAAAACTACAAAAGAGGCTTGCACGTGGAGATCCAGGTATTAATCCGTTAGACGCTGCTTGCAAACAACACGATATTGCTTATTCGCAAAATAAATCGCTAGAAAAACGACATAACGCAGATCGGATACTTGAAAACGCTGCTTGGGAACGAGTAAAGTCCAAAGACGCTTCCGTTGGTGAAAAAGCTGCCGCTTGGTTTGTTACCAATTCTATTAAAGCAAAGAGAAAACTAGGCATGGGTTTAAAGGCTCGTCGTCGTCGTCGTCGTAGTCGTTGTCCTCGTACGAAACGTTCCTTTCAACGTGATGTTGTGATGAAAATTGCAAAGTCTTTTACGCCTACATCAACTTTAACAAAGTCTGCTTCTAATGCATTAAAAGCAGCAAGACTTGTTGTCAAAAGAGCTGGTGGAAGAAAAACTGTACGTGTTCCCAGAATTATTCCTATAAACAAATCCGGGGGAATATTGCCTCTGATACCGATTTTTGCTGCACTTGGAGCCCTCGGCAGTCTTGCTGGTGGAGCAAGTGCCATTGCGAAAACTGCTATTGATGCTAAAAACGCTCAAAAGAAGCTCGAAGAAGATCAACGTCATAACAAAGCGATGGAAGCGGTCGGTAATGGACTGTACTTGAGAAAAAATGCTAAGGGAGGCTTCGGTCTATTTCTGAAAAAGCAAAAAAACTAATAACGCTACCCAATAGACCATTATACGATTACGAAATAACACGTTACGCTAAGCAACTTAAAATACCACATTTTCGAGGAGTTTTTATGAGGGACACTTTACCCAAGTCCGGTCCTCGTAAATATGAATGTGGTATTGTAAATTTAGATACATTAGAAAATAGTGGTACTCATTGGGTAGCATATAAGAAGATAAACAAAGTTGTGAAATATTTCGATTCATTTGGTAATTTGAAGCCGATGAAAGAACTTGTGCGATATTTAGGAAAAAACGTTAAACTATTTTATAACAACGATTCTTTTCAAACGTACGATCAAAGTAATTGTGGGCACCTATGCCTCCAGTTTTTAGCAAAATGATGAAACTTGAAGAAGAAGATTTACAAATGATTATTAAATTATTTATGTGGAATTCTGTAGAATTGCAACATCTTTGGT